TAACTATATAGTATATTTAATATAGGGCCAGGACTAGGGTGAGGCAAGCAAAGTATCTAGGTCATATTCAAGATAACCTATACAAAGATATATTATTTAGTCTTCCTATAATTATGTTGTCTTATACTCAATCAGCTTAGCTTACTCCAAATAAGGAACCACAAAATAAACCCTACTTAGAAATAGCAGAGATGATAAATTATATGCTATTACACATAACATAATTAAAAACAGAATGAACATCACTATCTTTACTTACAATTAATTCATAATGACACATAAGATTAAGTTCATTGTTGGTGATGAAGCTAATAAAGGCACTGCATCATTACGAAACAAGCAAAAGAACCAAAAGAATCCCATAAGAATTGGAAGTAACCTTAAACATTATTTAATCTAACCATTTCATACCACAGAGACACAAAGTAAAACCCATGGCAAACATCTAGATTTTGACACTGCTGACCACCAACTCCTCGAAATTCTACACACCCTTGGTGTTCATGAACCCCCTGGCTTCTCCTCTTACATTTCTGATCACTAACTTAAGAGTTTCCTTCAAGTTTACTTTCTCTTCTACTGACTAGACCTGATTCAGTTAGCACTACCTTGAAGGAGGGCATGGATAAGTATTTATATGAGTATTAGGTGATATACAATAGATCACAAAAAGACAGTTTTATTATAGATGAAAGATTAACACTGAATACAAATGTTCAGCAACACCTTAGAATATTATGTATTTTCTGCTTCTGCAATCACAGATACTGTAAATGAAACAAATGTTTCTTGCATTCATGTTGTCTCACCTGTCCTATGTGAAGTCACCACTGTACTGAAGAGGACAAGTGGGTCAACACGAAGAGTTATCAGAACAATATTAATAGTAAAAGGATTCATGATGGCTGAGATTGGTGAGGTATAGCTGATGTCTGTGAAAGTGACACTCCTTCAAGCTAAGAGTTAAGAAAATAAAAAATGACAAGCCAGACTTTCTCTCTCCCATTCTTCTCTTAGTTTTCTTATAAGCAACATGTTCTCAGAAAAAGGGAGGATATAAAGGATTTTCAAAATCCATGTTACGCCCTCTTGAATTAAATAATATTTCAAATAAACGCTTTCACTGAGCAATATTATGCAGCTGAAGATGGTTTTAGATGGTTTTAGATATATTTCTAAAAATTTTTGCTAGACATAAGTTTTTATTATAGTAATTAATCAGATTACACTATAGCTATGCATGAAGTGTCTATATCTGTCTGTATTCATTTTCCATGCTGCATAACAAATTACCACAAATGTAGCAACTTAAAAAAGCTGCAATCAAGTTGTTGGCCACCTGTGTTTTCATCAAGAGGGTCACCTGAGGAAGAACACACTTCCAAGCTCATCCTGGTTGTTCGCAGATAGAATTTCCTCACCTCTGTAGGACTAAGGGCTGGTCAAAGTATAGGATATACTAAGGACTCCATAAATACCTTCTGAATAAATTACTGAAATTCCTTTTAGCCACCGAATTTTGATCTTCATCAAAGATCCCTTATTTTGATAAAGGGACACATTTTAAATGTTAAATTTAATTGGAAAATAAAAGAAGCTAATAACCAAAGGACTAAAACACATCGATGCTTTCTCTTTGAATACTATATATTTTCTTCAATATTCAGTTATTTTACAATACATTTACACTTTTTGGTATATTTTATTATTTCCTGTAAAACCAATATTCTATCTGTTTAATTTCCTTTCAGCCTAAAGGATTTCTTTCAGCATATCTTGCAGTAAATTTCTATTGGAGAAAAGTACTGCCTTCATGTATTTATTGGCCAACATTTCTGATGGATATTTTGCTGGATATACAATTCTATGTTAACAGTTTATTTTCCTCAGCACATAAAAGATGTTATTCCATTGTCTTCTGGCTTCTATTGTTTCCAATAAGATGTTAAGGAGTTATTCTTACCATTGCTTATCTGTATATAACATGTCTTTATGTTCTTTTATTTTTTTCACTTTTTTTTATTTCAGAATATTATGGGGGTACAAACGTTTTGGTTACATAAATTGCTTTTGTACCATTTGAGTCAAAGTTATAAGTGTACCTATCCCCAGGTGTGCACTGTATCTGTTAGGTATGAATTTACCATCCTCTCCTCCCCCATTCTACCTGCTTGATTTTTGATGAATGTTATTTCCATATGTACACATAAGTGTTTATCGATTAGTTCAAATTTAATGGTGAGTACATGCGGTATTTGTTTTTCCATTCTTGTGATAACTTCACTTAGAAGAATGGTCTCCAGTTCCATGTAGGTTAATATAAGAGGTATTAGTTAACCATTTTTTTTTTTTTTTTATGGCTGAGAAGTACTCCATGGTATACCTATACCACAAATTATTAATCCACTCATGTACTGGTGGGCACTTGGTTCTTTGCACATCTTTGCAATTGTGAATTGTGCTGCTATAAACATTTGAGTGCAGGTGTCTTTTTTACAGAATATCTTTTTGTCCATTGGGTAAATACCCAGTAGTGTGATTGCTGGATCAAACATAGTTCTACTTTTAGTTCTTTGAGGTCTCTCCATACTACTTTCCATAGAGGCTGTACTAGTTTGCAGTCCCACCAACAGTGTATGAGTGTTTCTATCTCTCTGTATCTGTGCCGGCATGTGTTGTTTGGGACTTTTTGATAAAAGCCATTTTCTACATGCTTTTAAAATTTTCTCTTAAAGAGAACCCTCATACACTGTTAGTGGGAATATAAAATAGCACAACCTCTATGAAAAACAATATGGAGATTCCTCAAAGAACTAAAAATATTTCCACTACTGGGTATCTACCCAAAGGGAAAGAAATGATGCTATAAAAAGATACCTGCACTTATATGTTTATTAAAGCATTCACAATAGCAAAGATATGGAATCAATCTAAGTGTCTATTAACTGATGATTATGATGACTGAGTGAAGAAAATGTGGTACCTGTGTGTGTATATATACATATACATATCTACACACATACAGACACACACACAGACATACACACACACACACACACACACACACACACATATAGCACGGAATACTATTGAGCCATAAAAAAGAACAACTTGCAGCAACCTGGATAGAACTGTAGGCTATTATAATAAATGAAGTCAGGAACAGAAAATCAAATACTGCTTGTTTTTACCTATAAGTGGGAGCTAAAGTATAGGTATGCATGGCCATATATAGTAGAATAATAGACACTGGAGCCTTCAAAGATGGGAGAGTAGGAGTAGAGTGTGGGATGAAAAATTACCTAATGGGTACAATGTACATTATTTGGGTGATGGGTACACTAAAAGCCCAACTTCACCGCTAAAAAATACATTCATGTAACAAAATTGCACTCATACCCCCCAAATATATAAAAAATAAAATAAAATAGATTTTTGGCCTCCAAAACCATGAGAGAATAAATTTCTGTTATTTCAAGCCATGCAGTTTATGGTAATATGTCATGGCAGCCCTAGGAAGTTAATATAACTACTTCCTTAGGAAACTTCCCTTTTAGGAAGGAGTGTCTAATTATGGCTACACATGAAGGTTTTAGCTTCAGGCAGATTTGCATATGAAATTCACTTTATTAAAGAGTAACCGATTTTGGGTTAAATTACTAATCTAAGCTTTGCATTTTTTCATCTGTTAGAAGAGGCAATAATGTTTACCTTATAAGATTATAATAATAATTAAATGAGACAATTGTAAAAATGGTCATATAAGAGCCCAATAAATGAATGATGATGGTGTTATTTTTCTAAAAAAATTAATAAAATAAAATTTTCTCCTTAATCTTAGCTTTTCAGTAGTTTGAGTATGATGCACCTAGCTATGATTTTCTTTATATATCCTTCTTGGAGTTTTCTGAGATTCTTGGGTCTCTCTGGGTTGCTTCTCACTTTTTGGATTTTAGCACCATGGTCTATGGTAATGTCAATTAGGATCTCACCTGTCTGTGGGCTTAAAATAACTGTAATTTTGAAGATGATATAGCTTGCTCTCATAGTTAAGGTGGGAGTGAGTTTTTCCTTCAACTTTTTACATGTTAAGAAGAAATGAAAGGACCTAGTACTTAGATATTACTGTCTGGTACATATAAAATTCTATAAAGATGCCTCTAGTATCAGTCTTTCATTAGCTTATTTCATTGCAAGACCTTCCTTTCTGTTAATTCCCAAATAAAATCTAAACAGTCATGTGAGTAGCAGCTATTCCTAAATGATATGTATCAAGTTTTCAGCTCTTTAGTGGTTATAGTGAATTTTTTTCTTTAATATTGTCAATTAACCTTTAGCAATAAAGATGATTTAATTTGAAAAAAAAACATTTTCTCTGGTTCACAGAGAAAAAATTTTATACAAAAACTAAAATTTATAACTGTTAGTTGATCAGACAAGCATCTAATTGTATATTTTCATCAGGTTAAACATGATCTGGAAGAAGGGCAATTCAATAAGATCAAACCATGTGTATCTAAAAGTGAAAATAAATGAGAAGAAATGTGATAATAAAGAAAATAGCTATACTTACAATTTTCATATTTAATTTGTAATTAGGTAGAGAAAATAATTCGATGATACTTTTGCGTTAATTCCTATTCGGATTTTATCTCAGTACTGAGATAAGTATGTGATCTATATTTTTACATATTTTTACATTGAGCATTTAAAATCTTATATTTATAAGATACTAAAAAGAAACAAAAAGTAGAATAAACTAAATTTTTTAAATTCAAAGAATATCTCAAAGTGTGTATATTTTTATAAGGATCAGGAATAGCATATGTGTTTCATATGTTTAAATAAGCAAAGTACATCAATTATTTTCAACTAAATTATGAAAATGAGATAGAATACATGAGCATTATCTGTGAGAACATTTTTACCAACATTAAAAATGCTGAAAATTAAAAGGATTATAGAAATTACAGACATAATATTTCTAACTTTTATTTTACCTGTAGTGTGAGACTCTTCACTGCATTCCATACTATTCCAATAAATTCTTTCATTTTTTCTTCAGGACTTCTGCAGCCTTCAGATATATTCAACATGGCTTTCACAGGAACTGACAACGGTCGGGATTCTAAGTAAAGAATAGCTAATTATTTAACAGAAACAGATCTTATAATTTCACAAAAATATATCGAAAGTGTTTTCAAGACTGTTTCTTTTCTTGCTTAAAATTACAACTTCTACATGAGGTTACAAAATTAGATCATTTTACCTTGTAGAATTACTGGTTTTCTCCTGAAAAATAAAAAAGAACTCCAACCACAAAGCACTTGATTCAGCTAAAATTGATAGAAGTATATAATTACATAAAAGCAAATTTCTTTCTTTTCTTTTCTCTTTCCTCTCTCCTTTCCTCCCTTTCGAGAGATGAGATCACACTGTGTCACCCAGGCTGAAGTGCAGTGGCATAATCACAGCTCATTGCAACCCTGCACTCCTGGACTCAAGCAATCCTCCTGCCTCAGCCTCACAAGTAGCTGGAACTACAGGTGTGCACTAACATGCTCAGCTAATTTTTCTTACTTTTTATAGAGACAGGGTCTCACTATGTTGTCCAGGCTGGTCTCAAACTCCTGGTCTCAAGTAATCCTCCCACCTTGGCCTCCCAAAGTGCTGGCATTATAGGCATGAGCTATAACACCAGGCCAGATTTATTTCTTTATAAAGTTAAATGTGATATTCCACTCTCTATCTTAAGTTATTAAAAATTTAGTTCATACAAAGTAAAGAAATTAGAGAATTTCAACAATTTTTTATAATGTAAGATTTCAGGAATTATTTTAATAATTTATAATATAAAAAGATTCACATATATTTATATAATATATTATATGTTAATGCAAACATATAATTTATATGTACTATTTAATGTGCTTTTTAAGTAGTATAAAATAAACAGATCTGGATTTTCAAGACGTCTACTAAATTAAGTTTGAAGATCTTAGGATATTCTCCAAAATAAGCAATAGCATGATCATCAGTATGAGAATGACTAGTTGCCATATATCCACTCACACTTCCTCTCTCCTCACAAATTGGTTCATATATGAGCATTTGTACAAGATTTAAAATACCTTAAGGGCATTGAACATGGACCTTTTTCCTTCTTATACTTATAACCCCACAGACTCTGATATTGTGAATATTAGAAATGTTTAAAAGTTCGTTCAAGAAAACCAGTCTGGAAAAGACCCACAGAGATATCTAGGGCAGAGCATTATAGGCAGATGAAACAAAAACATAAAAGCCTGAAGTTAGGTGTATGTTTGGGATTTTCAAACAAAGTATAGAAGCAAGAAGGTTTGAGCAGAGTAAGGGTGAGAGAAGTAAGAGATGTAGTGAGAGCTGTTAATATATAGAGAGACCAATCTTACAGGGCTTATATAGACCATAGTAAGGAGACAGTTTTTACTTCAGGAAACTAGGTATAGTAATGGATTCTTAATACAGTCATGGCATTATTAGACATACATTCTGAAAGAATTTCTGTGGCTACGGTGTAGAAAATTGACTATGTGGATCAAGTGTTGAAAAAGGAAGACCAGTTGTAAGAGATGGTGGCAGCAGTGGAGGTGGCAAGAACTGGTGAAATTCTGTATCCATTTCAAAATATGGCCAACGGGTTTACTGATGGATTAGATGTATAACAAAGGAGAAAAAAGAAGCAAGGATGACTCCAAGGTTTTAGGTCTCAGCAACTGAATGAATGGAGCTATAGGAAGAGGATATTTGAAAAAGAAAGAAACTTAGTATTGGACTTGTTGAGATATCCATTAGACATCACATGGCAAATGAATAAACAACTATAAAAAAATGGAAAAGAGTATGAACAGATAATTCACAGAAAAAAATGTGATTTGGCCAGAAAACTTATTTTTAAAATGCTTAACCATGCTAACACACAAAGAAATAAAAATTAAGGCAACAATATGATATCCTTTTCATTTGTTACATTGGCAAACATTTTAAAGAGTTAATTTGTATGCCTACAAAATTTGTCATTGTTGAAGCCTCTTGCTCGAGAATGTTTCATATATTGGGATTATAAATAGGTATGGTCAATAGAGTAGAACTGCAAAAGAGGGCAATTTGTACCTTTAAAAAATTTAAACATGCAGACCAGGCTTGGTGCGGTGGCTCATGCCTGTAGGAGCATTCTGGGAGGCCAAGGGGGGAGGATCGCTTGAGGTCAGGAGTTCGAGACCAGCCTGAGCAAGAGTGAGACCCTGTCTCTGCTAAAAATAGAAAAAATTAGCCAGGCAATTAAAAATAGACACACAAAAAAATTAACTGTGCATGGTGGCAGGCGCCTGTAGTCCCAGCTATTCGGGAGGCTGAGGCAGGAGGATTGCTTGAGCCCAGGCTTTTGAGGTTGCTGTGAGCTAGGCTGATGCCACAGCACTCTAACCCAGGCAACAGAGCAAGACTCTGTCTCAAAAAAATAAAATAAAATAAACATGCATGGTCTTCTATAAAACAATCCCATTTCTAAGAATCTATGCTACAAAAATACTAAAACATGAGAAGAGTATGTACACATAGTTTATAAAAGATGTTCAGCATCAGCAGGACTATGTGTAATATCAAAAAAAGAAAGAAAGGGAAGGAGGAGAAAAGAAGAAAGGGACAAGGGGAAGAAGGGAGAAAATGCTAAACAATTTATCTGTCCATCAAAACAAAATGGCTCGATTAATTTTGGAATACTTGCAATAAAGATTGTAATTCAACCATTAAAAATACAGTACGGTTAAAGGTATGACAAAAAGCACATTTTTGATATTTTATGAAGTGAAAAAACTCAAATATATGTGTAGTACAATCCAAATATGTTTTTAAATAAGTTTAAGTATGTATTTGTCTTCCGATACATAGAAAAACTTATAAAAGAGGAAATAAGCAAGCCTTTGACAGAGGTTACCTCTGAGGAGGGTAAAATGGAAATGATGATGGGTAAAGGAGAGGTAGGTATTTAACTCTATATTATGTATATTTCAGAATTAATATTTTATAAAAATAAATTCCCTATTACAATTTTTAAAAATACATATTAATTTATTTTGTGCTTATTTGGACTTCCTTTTCTTTTGTATATTACTAGTTATTATAAGGAAATGGTACCCTAAACTTACTGTAGAACTTTACCAACTTAAATAATTGGGGTAAATGCAGAATAAATTTTAAAATTCTTTGAAACAACAAATACTAAAGATTTCCACAAAAATCACTTATTGGTCAAATTTTTAAAACCTCCTGATACAAAATATTAGTACTACATCAACGTTGTTACTAGAATTCAAAAATAAATCCATTTAATAAGTGCTAAAATTAGCAAGCAGTGTGGGTACTATTACACTAACATGAAGTAATATTTCCAGTCACCACTAATCAAAACAGCCAAATGATTATTGTAAATGCTATATTCTCTTGATACAATGATCTAGTAAAAAACATTAGGGGCCTTGAAATCTACATGGGGCTTAAAAGTGCTGTCCAAATAGCTTTGAAAAACATAAGTAGTTAAAATTTCTCATTAAATAACATAATCTGGTTATTCAGAGTAAAAGCACACTATTTTAGAAGTACCACTTTTCAATCTATCATATTTTCTGAAAGATAATAGAAAGACAAGTTTGTAAAAATAAAAAAAGGCAATATTTTCTGTTGTTTGGTATATTTTATAGGCAAGATAGGTATATTTCATATAGCTCTGCCAATACTGACACACATTTTATTTAATCAAAACTCCTACCGCACTTACTGCATTCTAGGCACTGCTGTAAGTGCTTTGCAAATACTAACTTATTATATATAAACCTTATAACAACTCCACAAGAAATGCCCTATTATTCATACTCTTTTCATCACCATTTTCACATAAGGAAAGTGATCACAAAGAGGTTAAGTATTTTACCCTAAGCCACCCAAATGGTAAGTGGCAAAACAAGGATGTGAATCCAGGCAGTCTGGTCCCAGAGTCCATCCTTTTCACTACTATGCCATGCTGCCTTTTCTATTATTCAATTCCTAAAAAAGAATGACTTCTAGTTCTATCAAACATATTATAAATGTGTAATATTTCTACCAAGTTTCATGGTGTCACAAATAGTTTAGAAAATATCAGATTTATTCACTCCCACTGAAGGTACATAAAAACTACATTTAGCATAGTAGTCAGATTGCAAACATACCTATCACACTGTTAGTCTACAGCAATAAGTAAATAAGAGACCCAAATTTTATTGGTTAAAATAACATCAATTATTTCTTGGGGACATACCACTCAACTTAGTACAATACTGTTCCTTTATTTCTGTGCCATGGAAAAAGCACCACACTTGGAGTCAACTTCAGTTAGTGTTTTAGCTATGCCACTTTCCACATGATTTCAGAAAAGCGATTTAATCTAAGTGTCAGTTTTCTGATCTGTACAAAAAAGCTAATAATATTGATATCTAACATCGAGAATACTATTTGGTTTAAATGTATACAAAACAGCTTATGAATGTACTATAAATATACGAAATAAAGATTAAAATTAACTAATCATTAATTATGTAAAGAAAAGAACTTGAAGGTTACCAGATCTTAAACACAATTGTACCCCTTTTCTATCAAAATCAACCTTTAGTTTTAGTTCTATCTTAAATGTCATTTCCTCTGAGAATGGTCACTGATTTCCTAAAATTCGACCTGGTCCTTCCTCTATAATCTGACATAATTCTGTATAACATAGAATTCTTCATGGTATAATATTAAACATTTGGATGTCTGTCTCTCCAAAAGAGCAGTTAAGCACAGTAATGTGGTATGGCAATAAACGGTGATGGTTAATGGTTGGACATTGAAGACACATTCTAGGTTATGGCCCCTATGACACTTTTTCTTCCAATGAGAAATAATCTTTATGTACATATTTATGAACGTATCACCAATTAGATTAAATTGCCTAAAAAAGCATAAAGCTAGAAACTTCAAGGCATAGAATTAAATGACTGTATTTTTTTGCATCTACATTTCAATCAATGATTTATATCAAAACATTCCTTTGCCCTCTTCAGCTTGAATTGGAAG